TAATATGAATGTCTGCCATTGAGTGAAGAATTGTCATAATCTGTCAGCAAATGAAAAATCATTATAAGTAATTACTTCTGACAACAGACGTGGATGAAACTTACATCTTTGACATCTCACAGCAGAGCAGAGTTTAATTTGAATTGCTCATATGATATAAACATACCAGTTTGCAGAATTATCTACAAAAATTCCTAAAAGTTAGTGTTTAGTTTTTACTGTAGACTTTCGAGTGTAAAGCCCCCCCCCCTCTCTTTTTTTTTTTTTTTCAGAAAAAGCATAGGAAATTCAGGAATGCAGCTTATACATGCAAATTATTAGAAATAGATGTATACAAACAGCTGGCAACACAGCAAAATGTATTTAATGATTGAGCATAAAATACATTGTTGGGTGAACGTTTCATAGTATTGTACTAGTTGTGGTTGCTGGTCATGGTAACCAGTTGTGGGATACTAGTACTAGTGATAATTGATACTGGTAGTGCAGCCAACTGCTGTAGTGATTGAGTGACAATGAATAAGGAGTGCTAAGCACAGAACATGTTCCTTTTGATTGAAAATTGAAAAAAAAAAAAATAATGTATGGTAAATACTGTTTTCCACCTAACTGCTTTCACACCTGCAAAATGGAAAAATATTATATGTAGTCTATCTGTCACTTATCCTCAAGATTTTTTTTTAATTAGGCATATTTAGAATACCATATTTCTCCTAAGAGAAATTATATATAAAAATTGAAGGTTTTATATATAAAAATATGCATATAAATATGCATGTGCATGTTTATAATATAGAGAGTACTACAGTACAATGAAGAAATATTCCATACTGCTTTGCACAGAAATATATGCCAACGAAGTTTTGGTCTTTCCAAAAAAACATCTCTAGACCATTTCGTTCTTTTTCTTTTTTTTACCTTCTTCCGTTGCCTCTTGGCTTATAAGAATTGCAGATAAAAGAGCATTCTGTCGAACCAGTAAAACTTTGTGGTGAGCTGAAAAAGCCATAACACAAAATAAGGAAAACAAGCAGAACGAGCACGGAAAATCAATCGAGCTGGAAAACAGCGCACGAAATGTGTAGACACATCTGCGCATGTGCAAATTTAGCTTCTCTCATTGGCCACAGCTTAGACCCCTGTCTTGCAGGTGTGAACGGAACTCCTGTATTTTATGCTGTTATTACTATGCCTCTATGCCCTTAATGCCTCCGTCTGAACGTAGCTTAAGTGACCTTATGCAGCATAGACACTATAACAAACATGCATGCCCTCTGCAGGATTTGAACCCAGGTACATCAGCTTGGCGATCAGCATCAGTAACTACTATTTGGATCAAACTGGCGTTATATCTGCACAGCAGTTTTTCATATTCTTGAAGCAACAAAGTTGGTTTGTTTATTTGATTATGGCAAAGTACATGATGGCTGTCAGCCTAAGAGGAGGAATTTCTTTGTGGAGGACTTTTCATGTTTGCCTGGAATTGAACCCAGTTTGGACTATCAGTGTTCAGCTACTTAATTTAATTGCTCAGCCGCTGGTGTGCCTTTAAACAATAAGACCTGTTCAGTGTATTTGTGACTAAAGAGGATAACTGCTGATAAGTCCATAAATTCACACTCTTATTGCATTTATGTTAATGCAAAGCATTTTACTGAATCACTTGTAAGGTTCTGCGGACTTATTCAAGAGACATTCATCTGTATAGAGTTCAAGTAGTAGGATGCCATATCTGTATTAAGGCAAGAGCTGTTATTAAAATTTGTGAATAGAGGGATTACGATGATAATAAACTCATTAAGGATCTATTAAGAGGATAATAAACCCGTTTGCATTGCATACCTTTGGCATTGCCTGTTTATTTGGAGACAAAAAATCTACGGTGAAGTTACATTTGACTAGAGAACTGCTGCATGTTATCTTATTTAATTGGGAGAAAGTGTAAATGATCTTAGCAATTTACAAGGGTTGCATAAAAAGTATTGACAACACAATAAATGGTTAAGAAAAAGCTTTATAGGTGCAAACATTTACAGTAACCCTGCTTATAATCATCACAAAATGCTAGGTGTAAATCATCAGCAGGTCCACTTCTGTTGATGTTTCACAGCAACTTCCCTAAAGCATAGATAGCATAGGTCCTGGATGCCATGCAGTTCATCTTTCAGTTTGTTGAATAGATCATACTCTAACAGACTAACCCTAGCATTGGGTAAGTGTGGTGGGAATTCCAGTGCATCTCATCTCCATCATTGTAGAAGATCTGTGACCATATGACTTGTTATGTCACCATACGTTTTTATGGAAGTTTACGTTTAATGAGTTATACGTTTTAATGAGATTTGTCCCCTGATACATCATCATCATCCAGCACTTGGAAAAAGCAGTGACACTTGTGATGAATCCATCATTCTCCATGGAAATGCAAGTTGTCATAATATAAGCTGTTACGTCTCCTGTAACAGCTGTGCTGGGAGATACACATAGGACAGATGGGACTTTCTCCAGCTCTGGGCTCTGCCAACAGGAAAGACTCTATGACAGAAATGCAGCATAACAGTAGAGAAGAGGTTATCTCTGTTTTAAGGGCATTTGCTAAGGAACATTGACAGAAGTGATATGCTGCTGGTGTATGCCGCTCCCCAGCAATTGACAGAAGGTGTAGTCATGGTATGTGATTATAGTGAGGTATTGTATGTGTATCTATGCTAATAAAACTTTTCAGAAGTATCAGCATGTGACAAGTATTTTTTATGGAACCTTTACTGAGTTCCTTAAGTACTTAAGTACTGAAACTAGCCATGATATCCATTGATAGCTGAATTGTTATCAAGACAGCTGTCTAGTAAGTAGGATTTGGTTACATAATAATTACATAAAACAAGTCACTAATTTGGTTTACTGTCAGCAAATCAAATTCAGCAATTTCTTCTGATCTTGAATTTAGATACTTTGTAAGCTGAACCATAAATCTTTTGAGGTATATGATATTAGTAGACTTTTCACAGTTATTCAAATCAATTAAAATAAATGAAACAGAACAGTAATGTTAGGTTGGTTTTACCGGTATATTTATATATGTTAAACACAAATATTTATTTTGAGATAACACGTTCAGTTACAGTAATGCAGATGTCATAAATCTGCTGTTGAATCATTTTTAGCTGAGAAGTTGACTCTGGCAATAATACTGTCATTTCTAATATATAGCATCACATTCTCCTTTAAATTGAATTAATTTGAACTAATTTTGTCAGCACATGTGCAATGGAATGATCCTGCAAACTCTTGTTGAGTTTTCCTAAACTTCTCCAAATGGCAATGAATAGAAATTCTTTAATTATTAAAATTTCTAATACACTGTTGGCCATTAAAATTGCAACACCATGAAAGAAAGCAAATACAAGAAAGATATTTATTGCATGTAAACAGTATGGCATGAAGACAAAATGGTTAAATTTGTAAGCATTTTGGAGGTTTAGAAGGGCATGAAATTAGTAGAAACAGATGCCAGCCCTGGCAGCTAAAATGGCCCTAACGCAATATGGGATGGAGTCAAACTGGGCTTGGATGACAGAAATGGCCAACTCAGTCAATGCTGCTTCAAGTCTATGCTACACTTCATCAACCATATTAGCTGGAGGGGGGTGTAAGCCAGTCTCTCAGCAACCCATGACCAAATGTTTTCAGTGGGTGACAGAGCTAGAGACCATGCAGGTCAAGGCAGCAGTCGAATACCCTGTGTATTGAGGAAGGTCAGTACATGACGTACAACATGTGGTCTTGCATTATTGTATTGGAACATGGCATTTGGGGGCCTCGAAGATAGGGCACAACCACTGGATGTAAAATGTCAAGACATGTATCCATCTGCATTCAAATTACCATCAGTCCAAACTAGAGATGTTCATGTCGTGTTCCCAAAGGCTGCCGAAATGAGTATACCAGACCCATATGTCAAAATCGAATGCAAGGCAGGCAACGTGTGGTCTCATTGGACACTCCAGACATCAGAATACTGCATGTAGAATCGGGACTTGTTTGAAAAGGTGACATTCTGGCTCTCCTGTACCCAGCTTTGTCATTTGGTGCACTAGAGTTGCTGTCTCTCTCTGTGCTGCATTGTCAAGGGAAGCCGAAGTAATGGGCACCGTGCCAATTGTCCGTGCCAATTGTAGATATGTTCTGCTGTCCAAAACAGTAATTCTCATTTAAAGAAATAGCATGACATGGTTTTTAGTCTAATAACCTTGAGTTTTTGCACCGTGCCAATTGTCCACGCTGCCGCAAATGTAGACCCACCTTACAAGTTGATACTGGGTATGCTGCAAACATGCCCATATCCTGACTAATGGTCCATGATGTGGTCATATAGTTTTGCAGGGCTGACCTCACAATATGTCTGTTCTCTATGGTGTTAGTTATGGGAGGGCATTGAGATCCTGGATGCTGTTTAGTATGACCCTCAGCAATCCATTGATTCCATATTTGCATGACAGTGGTGGTTGGATGTCGTCCTGTGTGACCGGTGATATTGCAGAATGATAACCTACACTTTTGATAAGCAACGATCCTGTCTGTATTGAAATTTGAAACTTGCCGGTAAGCATTTCCTCTTCTTATTTGAGGCATACTACGATATTCTCAGCAAACTCCAACCTTACAAAGCACTTTCCAAATGAGAAATCCACTATGCAACTATTCTTTTATGCAGTTCTTCAGATGTTGTTTCTCCCTACTACATCGTCTAAATGTGCTGAAATACCAGTCATGTGCATATCCCAACTTCTTCCTTTCATGTGATTTTGACATTTATCAGATCATTCCTTCCTGATGTTGCAGTTTTAATGGCCAGCAGCGTACATTATATTTTGTATGCAGGTTGTGAGTGTATATGCTTGTTTTGTAATTATTTGTTTTGTAGTCATTTTTAATTTTTTACAAATTGTTCATTAACAATATTATGTGTATGCATTAAGTCAAGAATTTTTATCATTTAGAAATTTCAGAGGGATCTATCCAATATGAACACACCTCAAGTGCCAATGAGTTTAGCTTCTACATCTTCCATACCTTCCAAATTTGATCACTCTGTACATTGCTACTATAGCACCAATTTAATTAAAACATTACCAAGTTCTTCCACTTTTACATCTCCATTCCACAAGTCTAACAGTGTAGAAAATATCTGTCCTGCTTCTTCACAGGTTAGTCTACAGATTACACTATTTTATCTATGTTTTGCCAAAATAATTGTATTATTTTGTGAGATCTTATTGGAACAGTATATTCTATTTCTAACTAATATTGACAGATAATATACACTGGTGTGCAAAAATTAAGGATGAAGTCGAAAAATTAGCATATCAGCTGAACGAAGAGGCAGAGCGGACAGAAAGACCAATCAGGAGATTAAGTAAGGTGATGTACGGTAGCACATGCGCAGATATGCAGTTAGACGTAATGGGGGAGTGTCTGAGTAGTATAAAGCATATTGTCGGTGTAAGGTCAGTATTTCTGGCAAAGAGATTGCACGCCGTATAGCAGTTAAAATCACACTGAGTTGCTGCCTCAGCGAGAAATGGCGAATAATCAATCTGTTAGACGACATCTGGATGCTTTTACCCGAGGTCGAATCATTGGGAAGTTGGAGGAAGGCTGCAGTGTGACAAGTTTGGAATTGCTCACAGCATCGTTTCACGACTTTTGAGACAATTTCAAACTACAGGAACAGCTATCCGGGGTTTAGTAGTGGTTGTCCACGAGAAACCACACCCGCAGATGACCGGTATATTGCCTTACAGGCCAGAAGAAACAAGCGGCAGACAGCAGGAGAAATCGCTAGACTCACGACACAAGCGACTGGACGAAAGATATCGCGTTTTACTGTGGCTACAAGACTGCACGGTGGTGGTCTGTTTGCACGACGCCCTGTACGGTGTGTACCTCTAACGCCTGCCCATCGGAGAAGCCGTTCTCTGTGGTGCCGGGAACACCGGAATTGGAGAGACAATGAATGGGGACGAGTACTCTTTACAGATGAGAGCAGATTCAGTCTGAGTAGCGATTCTCATCGCATACTCATCTGGAGAGAGTGGGGAAGCTGCAATCATCCCTCGAACATCATTGAAAGGGACAGGTATGGAGGTGGTGGTGTTCTCGTTTGGGGAGGCATCATGCTTGGTAGTCGTACAGACCCTCACATCTTCGACGCAAGTTCAGTCAACGGGACCCGTTATTATAACGAGATTCTTCTTCCATATGTGCGTCTTTTTAGAGGCGCTATGGGCCCGCAGTTCCTTTTCATGGACAACAATGCACCATGTCATCGCACAGTAGCTGCTGAACAGCTCTTAGAGAGTGAGGATATTGAACGTATGAATTCGCCGGCACGATCTCCGGATCTCAATCCCGTCGAGCATGTATGGGATTTTCTAGGCAGACGCTTGGCAGCTCGTACTTTACCACCAGTAACGATTCCGGAGCTTCGATTGGCGCTGCAAGACGAATGGGCAGCAATGCCTCAACAACTCATTGACACCCTCATTCTCAGCATGGGCAGACGCTGTGAAACCTGCCTAGCAGTCAGGGGAGATCATATTCCCTATTAAAGACTGGATGTTTCTTGCTGGACACCCATCACAGGGACGTTTCGGCCTTCAGTCGCATTGCGCTCCATGCTACTTTTTCAATAAAGCTTCTTTTTATCCCTCTGATTTCTCTTTTAATAAGTGTTGCTTACATTACTCATGTTCTTACGTATTGAGGATCTTACGGTATTAAATGTGTTGATTTGGAAAGCTTTTGTACAAAGTTATATTGAAAAAAACCGTCTCGTCCTTAATTTTTGCACACCAGTGTATACTGATTAAATGCCATTAGTTAAATTTGATGTGTCAGCAATGAGTTTTGTGGGCATGTTCAATATTTTGCTGGTCTTTAAATTTTGGAGCCTTACTCATAGCTGTCAACTCTCCCAATTTTCCAGGAGTTTCCTAATATTTTATTACATCTCCCAGTTTTTAATTTTTAGCCTTTATTAAGGAAATTATTTCCTAGCAATAAATGAAATTTCTTGAATTAACTGAACTTAAATTTGAAAAATTCTAGTCCTTCTCTTCCAATAATACCCTTAAAAGAAAATGGATTATATTTCAAAAAAACCATAGTGTTTATTTCTTCTTGATGTATAATAAAACAGCTTCTTAATTGTATATAAAACTATTACAGAGTAAAATAGTTATCTTCAAGAAGTTTGTATGTCTGGAATGGAACTAAACCTGTATTACCTAAATAAAAAATCCCGGTTATCCAGGCAGATGCTAAAGTTATTTTGGATTGCAGCCAAACCCAGCTGCAAGTAAGCCACAAGTACTAACAATCCTTATTTTGAAAGAGATTGGTTTATAATTAAAAACATCATTAGTGGTCAGTGACCATTCTGAGATAATTAATATTGAGTTGTGCTGTTAGCTTTACTCCGTGCCTCTGCTAGCTTAAGCATTTTGTGCTGTATATAATGCATACAGAATAGATATGTTCTGCTGTCCAAAACAGTAATTCTCATTTAAAGAAATAGCATGACATGGTTTTTAGTCTAATAACCTTGAGTTTTTTTGGGGGGGCAGAGTTTGAGCTTATCCATTATATGCTTTAGCAACTGCTTTCCAACTCCCCCCCCCCAGAGAGATCGCTGGAGGACAAAAACTTGTTTATCCTATTGAAGAAGTATCTGAGCTGGAAGATCTGACTGATATCAGTTATATTATTTTATGCTGATTTTGTGATTTTAAAGTGAGGATACCAATTTTTATTCATTTGGAATTTAATGGATTTTTGATTTAAATGTTCTGTGATATGTATAAAAGTGTAACTACAGTTACTGTGAAGATGAGAATTTCTAAGCTAAGTGATGTTATCTACACGTATGTAACATGTATTACCTGTAAGCAAGATTGTTTTTGTACACTGTCAATGAACATTAAATAGCAGACTAAAATTCCACAAAATTCAATACTGGGACAAAACACTGCTAGTCTTTGTATAAAATATGGATTATAAATATTAGAAATGTGGGTGTATGTTGTGTATATTTCATTATATGCAAAGGCTACTACACATTTTGAATGCTTACTTTTTACTAGGATACCAAACATACTTATAGAGAAATTATACAAATAATATTGTAAAAAATAACTGTATTTTTTTTAACTTAATGTGTTTTGGCCTGAATCTCAAATAATGTCAAATTTCTTCATCTCCTGTCTTAATCCAAGTTTTGACATAGGCTCATTTCATAGTCCCTTCAAATGATGATATTCTTATGGTGCAGCTGAGCAATTATTGCCATTCTCATGAAATAATTTTAGAAGCATTACATATTCTTTCTTGTCTAAAGGCATGCTGGTCAAAGCAGAGTAGGTTTCTCGATACCAGTGGTTTACTCTTTACAGTGTTTAACAGTATTTTCTTTTTTCAAGGAAACTTGTTGGAACAGTTCCATCTAGTGATGAAATTTTGAATTATTTTTATTTATTTGTTTCTCTTCCCCTTGATAATGTATATTCTATACAATATTTTTCAAAGAAGGAAGAACAAAAATTTATGATGAATCAAGGAGTGGGAGGCCATCTGTTGTGAGTGATGATCTCGTGAAAGAAATTGAAGACTATATTCATCAGATCTGTCGATTCACAATCTTGGAACTTTCACAGCAATTTCCAAACATTTCTCAGACTATTTTGTACATAGTAGTCACTGGAAAATTAGGCTACAGAAAGTTTTGTGCTTGATGGACATTGAAAATTCTCACACTGATTCATGAAACCAATCGAATGGGAGCTACCTTAGACTTTCTTTCTCAGCACCATATGGAAAGGGAGGAGTTTTTGAATAGAATAGTCACTGCTAACAAGACTTGGGCAGTGCATGTGAATGCTGAGACAAAACAACGGTCAATGACATGGGTCATACCGCTTCTCCGCTTCGGCTGAGGAAAGCCCGTCGAATTTTGTCAGCGAGGAAGGTTATGGTTGCCATATTTTGAGATGCTGATAGAATCTTGCCTGTTGAATTCATGGAACATGGTACAATAATATGAACATGGTACATGGAACATGGTATAATAAATTCTGAAGTGTAGTATAACACTTTGAGAATACTGAATAGAGCCATCGAGAACAAATGTCACAGCCTGCTGACATCTGCGGTTCTGTTCCTTCACAATGCTCAGCGAACACACGACCTGTTGAGCTGATTCAAATGTGACGCATTTCAACATTCTCCTTGCAGCCCAGAGTTGACTCCTTCTGATTACCATCTGTTCCCTGCAATGAAGATGTGGCTTGTAAAATAAAACAATGTAATGTTTGATGTAAAATAAACATGGTGACTATGTTCAAAAATAGAGGATAGCTGTTCCTTTCAGATGTAAATAAAAAATTTATTGATAGCAAAACGGAGGTTAGTTTCTGAATTGCCCTCGTGTGACACTCATGACAGAAAGACAAGATTTTCTATCTCATTATTTCAAGTTTGATGATGCATTAAATTTTAGATCAAAACATAAGTCTATTACCATGATAGTGTAGGCTTCAGTACCTAAAAGAGTCCTTTCATGAAGTTCCGTTCCATGTGAATTTGTTCTACTCGTCAAACATTTCTCAACTAAAGTTTTATTCCACTTTATCTGTTAATAATGTCATGTAAAGATTTAAATTAATTAGCATAGCTAGAATTTGTTATTTTCTTATAAAAATAAAATATTTTAATTTTGTCCATGTATATTTTAATTGTGTAAAAGTAATTATTTAGATAATTTTAGTAATTCTTTAAGTTACTTGAGAACAAAGAAAAATATCAGAGAAATATACATTACTTGAGTCGTGCTTCAAATTTTGCCATATTTTTTAATGTTTTATAATTATATCGTGCACTGTACATGCTAATTATAAAGATTAATTTTTAGTAAAAGTCATTATTTGTAATTAGTTTTGTTTTTCATTTTCTAAGTATGTTTATGAGCTTACTAAAACTGATTTTATTTTAAAATTTAGTTACATGCTTATTCTTCCAAAAGTCAGTATGGTACAATGCCTCGTCAGTCTGGTTCTGAGGTTTTGCAGCAACTTCAAGTGTCCTTATGCGAAAATGAAGCAGAAGCTAACGAAAGATTACCCATGGTAGAAAAATCTGAATTTCCAGCAAATATGAATATCATGAAGATGCATAATAAGAGCACTAAAGGAACTGGTGGCAAGAGTTCTGGGGTGTCTTTTGGTAAAGGCTTTTTTAAATTAAGATCTGGAAAACGAAGTTCAAGTGAACCACATCTAGGTGATGGTGATGGTGATGGTTTTGGTTTCCTACATGCTCGCTTTGCATTAACCTGCATGCTGCCTGCAGTTTTATTATTCTAGCAATACTAATTTACTAACTTCTTTTTCATTTCATGTATGAATATGTTGCTTATCTTTGTTGGGAATTCAGGTCTGCTTAGATATAATGTGGGCATGCTGTACATAAATTTTCCTTTGTTAATCTAATTAAACTATGAATGAATTGCATACGTATTCTTGCTCATCTGATTTATTCATACTATCTAAGAAATCTGTAAAAAAATTTTTTCAAAATACCGTAATTTCCAGAAGAAAGGCCGCATCAGCGTAAACGCCGCACTTGAGAAAAATGGCGGGAAAAAAATTTAAATTACACAGAAACGCCGCAATAGATTAAATTGCGCGTGACATCGTCGTGGGCCGTATAGATGCAAAAACTCAACCTAAGTCCTGATATATGACATACCAGTTAAGAAAAATGCATGAAATGAAACCATAACTCAAAAATAAATTAAAGGTAAGAAATGTATAGCTTCTGTGCCGTTTAGAGACATTTTCAAAATTTTTCCGCTCCCTTCTTACTTAAAAACTATCCAACAAGTACTTGTACCCAAACTGATGGGATCTGTATTTGGCAGAATGCCAAGAAAATCCATTCATGCTGAAGGGGAAATACGTCAGAGTTCGTTATTGCGAGGCAGGTGGAGTCGTGTCCGCCTTTGAAAAAAATTGCAGAAAAGGCAGGGGTGGGGAGAGGATGGGTCCTGGAAGATTCATCGAATGACAGAGGAGAGAGACTATTCAAACTGATGAGAATGTTGATTTGAAAGGGGGAAGAATGTTATTGTTCTGAGATCTCGTTTAGGGTGAATAAGGCATGTAGATCCGTTCAAGGAAAAGAATGTAAACAAAATAATGCTCGCAAAAAGCAACTGAGTGGTCTTTTGTGTGGGAACAGCACCAGTCTATGCACAATGACAAGGCCGTCCAAACTATGTACAATGACCATCATAGGAAATATTTTATTTTTAGTGCACCTAAACGCCGCATGGGTAGAAACGCCGCACCCGCTGAAAATTTAAGTTATAAACACGTAAACGCCGCGGCATTTCTTCCAGAAATTACGGTATATGCTATTTATTCTCTTTTAATTCACTCTTAAAAGGTTTTAAATTGTACTTTAAATGGTGTGATAGTTTTCTGTAGTATCAAAGTACTAATTTTTTAAAAGAAAGTGAGAATGTATGAATGATATAACGTGAATAATTTGTTAATGCTGAAAGATATTTAGTTTGTTATGTAATTTTGTGTCTACAAAGGTAGTGTCATGGCTTTGCATATTGATATTTATGTAACGTATAGCTTGTTTAGGAAGTAAATTCATGTAACATCAGTCATCTCTTGCATTGTTGTTGTGGTAAGTGCATTTACAATTTAGAACAAGTATCTTGGGAAGCTTTCTATGAATTCAGTTGTAGATGTAAAAATATATGAATTCGTGAAGCATGACAAGTGTATTAAAGCCATTATATTGGAACAAGAAATTCTAATATAACTTATTCAACATTGAGACAGATTTGGTGCATGTCACACCTGTCAACTTTTATGCATTGTATGGAATCAACATGATATAAAATGAGGTATCAACATAATATAAAATGAGTACTGAAATACAATTTTCCGAAATTACATTCATTTTACTGAATGTTTATGTTATTGCTTATTAGTTGCAAATGGTATATCATTTAGAATTTTCTAAAAAGTCCTTATGAAAACTTGATTCTGTGGGTACTCTAACGGCATTGATTAATATCCTTTCTTGCGAAATTCATATGTAATGAAATACAGGATGTCCATAATTAAACTTGAAATTTGAGAGTAGTCTGTAGCAAAAACTATGCTGTGGAATTGCATGGAAATTTGGTAATGGCAGAATGAAATGATGAGAATTTTATCGAGGGGGGGGGGAACAATGAGGTTACACTCTCTATATATAATGTGTAACCTAAACCCATTTTCTTCCACATATAAGAAAAATTAAATTGAATTATGATAAAAATTTAACTTGCTAGCAGTATTCTTCAAGAACTGAAAAATGTTGCAGTCGCATGTTAACATTTATGCTTATATTTTGAGCAGATGTTCTGTGAATTTGCATGAGTGTTAAAAAAAAGGGGGGAACACTTTTCTGCAGGTTTAGTATTGAAGCAAAGCAAATATTTACAGAATTATCTTTATAGGGCAAAACAAAATAATTCATGATGTCTTGTTATTTTTTTAATACTTTCTTACCTGTGGTTGCATCATTGGCTGTTATTAATGTTGATATTACCCATTTCAGCTGAAGTTGGAATATGATACATATTATAATATTTTGCAGAATAGCTACCCAAATATAAACCAAAAGTTAAGCAATAAAGTAAAAAATTCATATAAAAGAAAAGTACTTATTTGAGTCCATTGGAATTTTTACAAATTAGGGATATAAAAAAAGATACTGGAAACACATGCTTGGCAGGAGTGGTTCATGGCAAAAATAAGACCATCTAAAGCAGTTCGTGGTGTCTGTGCGTATTCATGGAGCTGAGATATGTTAGCTTGTAAAGGTTATGAAGAGAATCGCAGAATGAACCTGAATGTCTGACAGGTCTGTTTGATATATGCTCAATCCAATTCAAGTAAGCTGATCTCAATGGCCATTCGATATGAAATTAGAATTTCTAAGTACTGTCCAATCATTCGAGACGTGATCTGGTGCATTACTCTTCATAAAAGTGGCATCAAAATCCTTGGTTGCAAGAAATGGGTGAATGTATTGAAAAAGTATGTGATTAGCAAATCTTGAGTTGTAATACTGCAGGAAGAGTTTATTAGATCAGTAGGCCTCCCAACAAAACTCCTAACTTAAACCATGAAACCAATTATCTGTGTAAATATGCATTTTGCATTTTATTGCTATGATAGCAAATTTCAAGAAATCTCCAGCACTTAACCATTGAGAATCAGGTTGTAGATTAAACCATGCCTCATTTGTAAAGAGTAACCCACTGAGGTGATCTTCAGACCATATCTGGTTGAAGGTGTTCAGTTTAATGCATATCACTGTACATTTTGCATATAGCTGACTGGCCCATTTCAAGACACCGTATTACCTTCAGCATCTCTCAGCCGATGTCATGTCACCTTTTAAAATTTAGTTGTTTGTATTTTCTTTTTGAAGCATTTTCCTTCTGCAGTGCATATGTAGATTTTGTACAATGCATATTTTTTTTTTAAAATCCTAAAGCATTTAAATGTTGGTATGTAAAATTTTTTCTATGAGCTAGTTTCTGTGTATGGTACATAAATTTTGTTATCTTTTTCCTCACCAAATACATTAATTTTCTAATTATTTCCTAATTTTTTGGGCACCACTGTAGACTTGCATTATTTCTCTTTTTCCAAATGTGCTAATTTTCCATTGCATAACTTTTAGAAATCAATGTAAGTTTGGTAACGATTTTATCTTCATTTCAGCCTAATTCTGAAAGGCATCCATGATGTATTTAACTAGAAGTATGTTTTCTATATATCTGTGATAGTTTTGTTGGTAAATTTTTGTTTGTATTCTGGGCAGCTGACAAATGTTGAAAATTGAGAGTTTAGAGTTTTATTAAATAATAAGCATTACTTGAAATAAGCAGCAGAAAACTAATACACATGCTGCATGTGGTAACAAATGATGAAATGATACATATTCTGTATTTTTAAGTGATCATAAGTAAAGCTTCACTGCACGTGTCATTAGCCCAGGTTCAAATCCCAAGCCAAGACTGGGTGTTTGTGATATTAGTGTCTGTTTTTATACCTTAAAATGAGTCGATCTGAAATTTCTGTAAAGTGGCTAGTGTTAGGACTAGTTGATTCCATCCACTAAGATGCAGCGAGTCAAAACTGAATGGAGCTTAGGCAGTTGGCTCTTAGATACTTTGAATAAATTAAATAACCTAAAGCTATTTTACTCTTTAGTTTCCCTGATTTTATCCTTTTATTTCTAGTTGCCATAATGTTTTTATTGCTGCTTTTATGCTGCATATTTTCCCTAAATTTCTATATGTGTATTTAGTTATTCAGTGTCTTATTCTTTAGCAGCTCAAGAATGTATTGCTATTCCTCCAGGAGACAAAGAAAATACTGACAATTCTGTGCTGCTTCCAACCCAGCCTTTTATTATCAAATCAGACAAAGAAAAAAATAAGGGATTCCTGAAGTTTTTTTCAAAGTAGGAAAGCCTTTCATTGAAATAATTTATTTATGATATATAATTCATTATATTATTATTTTTTTTTTTTTTTTTTTTTTTTGAAATTTTAAGAAATATTTTGTAGCTTTTTTATTTGCTCATTTGTCTGTGTAGTGCATTTTAATAACTTCAAACATGCTTCTTTTTCAATTCTGAATTAAACTTTCTATGCATTATCAAGCATCTACTTGCATTACAACAGCTAATAAATTATAGAACTTCTAGAAAACATACTAAAAGTAAAAATTCCAGCTATTTTGAGAGGTGGGCAAAAATACTAATAACAAACTTATTTTGAATATGTATGCCCTGTGCATACAATTTATGTGATAATATTAACTTGCCCGCATTTCTGCTTGGTTGTATATACTTACCTGAGATTGTTTGTTGCACATATATACCAGTATTTTATAGAAAAGTGACTGTTTTAAAAGTTGTGCTATTCATTTATGAGCAAGTTTGCCGAATCCAATATACGTAATATGCGACTTCGAAAAATTCACAATTACAGAAGTGTTAAAACTGTAACATTTAAACTAAAACCAATTAGTAATAAGGCCTCTAAAAATGATTCTTGCATTCAGATCAGTCATGCAGTTAGTTTAATAACCTGCTTATCACCATTAGTGCTAGTTGTATATTAGCACAAACTAGATTTTAGATGCCAAACCAAATGCACTGGCAATAAATTTAAACACACACGTTTGCAATTACTGTGGAGGAAAATTTGAAAATAATTCATGTGTGTGAAGATCAGAAAATTGTATCAACAACTTAAGATATAAATTTAACTATTTCCACAGTATGATAATGAAGGATAAAGACTATATTCTTGAAAGCATGAAAAGTGTGGAAATAGTGAGATGTGCAAGCATTGCCAGCTAGGCTAATTTTAGAAATGGAGAAATTTTCTTATTGGGTCAGGGATCTGTAACAAGCTAATTGTGTTGAATTTTCTGATTATCCAGGAAGAGGTTAAGTCTTAAAGAATTTGAAATAAAAGCCACCATTATGGACATGGCGAATGCATTTTAAGGAATGATTCAACTGTTTTATGCTGGCATGAAATAGCTAATTACTAAATTTTGGATCTATGAAGGTGAATCAAAAAAATAAAAGAATTTGTGAAGTATTTCAGTAATTGTAAGATGAATGAGTTTGTCATGACGTGATGACCACGCATGCGCAGTTTAGTCGAACGGCCTGCAACGCCTCTCTCTCATGAGACTTACTAGAGAAGAGTAATTAGTAGGTAGTAGCGAAGTAACGAAGGAAACGTGTTGTATGTCAGTACGAAGTATTACTTGTGTGTTACTCGTTTGTACTTATTATTTTTATTTGTGTGTTAATAAAGTGTTGTGCCGTTAAAATGGCTGTTTTATGCAACGCACACAATACGATACGTCTACGGTAGGAAGGAAATACAAATATCCAGAAGCTACACTCCCAAGAAAAAGTAGGATATGACAGTGGTGTCAGAACAGGAGGATATGTCATTCTGCAAAGTTCACGGATAAATGCGTGAGTCTTCAGAAAGGTAAGAAATTTGTTCAATTTATTTGGTGGTAAAGTGGAATTCAAGGTTACAAAAATGGCTGAAGAGCTAATGAAATCTAAGAAAGAACGGAAAGTTATGCATTCAGCCATTACTAAAGTAACAAATGCTATTGAATCATTAATTGCAGCCGGTAACCTTGAAGACCTTGAAGAATCACTGGAAATTTTAAAAGTAAAAGCTATTTCTTTGAAAGCGTTAGACGAAAAAATTAAAACTTTGACTGATGTTAATGACATTGAAACCGAAATCGAAAGTGCCTTGGAATACGAAGAAAAAATTTCGAAATGGAGCTTTAGAGGCAAAAAATTATTGAAAGAAAAAAGAAATAGCAATAATTCGCTAGTTGCTAATGGTTCTTCTAATGATAGTTCTTCTAATGATAGTAACAATTTATCTATTTCTGGTGTCGATAAAAGTTCTGATTATAATGTTAAATTGCCGAAGATTATGATTGATAAATTTTTATATGGAAACATGCTGAAATGTGGCAGACATTTTACAATTCTTTTGACACGGCAATAAATCAAAACGAAAAACTATCTAAAGTAGGATAAGTTTAATTACTTGCTTAGCCTGTTAGGCGGTGCAGCTTTAAAAACAATAGAAGGCTTTTCTTTATCTCCAGAAAACTACGACAAAGCTTTTAAAATTCTTAAAGATAGGTATGGTCGAAAAGATATCCTTATTAATTCGTTACATGCATAAACTTTTAAATTTACGTCCTGTCGAAAGTTCTAATGACATTAATTCCATTTGAGGGAATTATATGATACCTGCAACGTACAAGTAAGGTCACTAAATTCGATAGGGGTCAAACCGAATCGTATGGAAAGTTTACTATACCCTTTGTTAATGAAATGTATACCTCAGAATATAACGCTTGATTTTGCTCGTCAAAACAGCAGATGAGGAAACTTTTAATGTCGAAAGACCTCATGAAATTTCTAAAACGGGAAATTGAAAGTCGCGAACGAACTTCATTAAATTTATTTTATTCTAAGAGTTACGCTAATTCTCTCGGAAAAGCATTCTCGACAACCAATGAAAAGCGAAACAACTTCCACACTCGGAATTCATTCATTACGCCAACAAATTTGGTGCCAGCTATTCCCCTAATGTAAGCAAAATTGCAGTTGTTCTAACTTTTCCTTCCGTATTTTGTGAAAGCGGAAACCATGTTTCGGAAAAACGCGTTATGTCCCCGGAAGAAAGAAAAAAAGAGTTTAAAAGCTTCTAATCGGTGCTTTCTTTGTTTCGAAAGGAACTGTAGAACAAAAAATTGTCCTTCTCAATTAAAATGTTCAAAATGTAATTCTAAGTATCATAATATATTGTTGCATGAAGATAAGGAAAAGGTCGGTAAAGGAAGAAATTAAGAATAATTCTAACGCCGTAACAGCAAAGATTTCTTCTAAATATTTTACTGTGAATCAAGAGGTTAATGAATTAATCAGATGACTTTGCCAACCGTTAAACTTATATGTGATGGTAAATTAATTAATGCAGTAGCAGGTACAGGCACTCAATTAACCGTCGTCAAGGCTGACATTGTACCAGAAAAATACCGTACGCCACATGGAAGTGTTATCCTCACGTCAGCTTTCGGGCAATCATTTAAAAGCTCCTCTCATTAATCCTACCTTTAGTGAATGTATTCTGAAAGATGATAAATTTATGTCACCTATTTTTTATAACATGTGCAATGATGGATAAGTTATGTAATGATTTACTCTTGTCGTTAAGTGCTTTTAGTGAGTTAAGGGGAGATGATAAAAGAAAGTTTAATTTTGAATGTAAAAATGTAAACATTGCTACTGATAGTTTCGGTGAAATGCCTTTTCATGAAACTGAAAATTTTGACGAAATACTTAACCATGATAGGGAAAACCTAATTAATGGAAAATGTAATGAAACTGTTAAGAAGATAATAGAATGTTGTACTCTTGTATATGAAGATACAGGTAAGGATGATTCCAAAGGTAGCACGGGACACGATCAATGTGCTTCGGATTCAGAACTGTTTTGAGTGCAACAAATGAATGACCCATCTTTAGAAACATGCTGGCAAAATGTTAAGAACGGAAGTAATAACTTTATTGTTATTGACAACTTTTTGTATCATAAAGATAAAGTTCTAGGAGAAAGAGTTTACCAGTTGGTCGTACCCAAAGAAAGAAGAAAACAGATTTTGGACTTAGCTCATTCTAGCTTATGGGGAAGCCACCTGCGAACCAAGAAGACAGCCGAACGTTTGAGATATTCGTTCTATTGGCCGGAAATCAATAAAGATGTAAATGAATACTGCAGTGCTTGTACTTCTTGTCAACTTCAAGCGAAAAAGCGTCCCTTTGATGAAGTTCCGATTACGCCAGTAACACGTCCTAAAGAACCATTCCAGGTAATTAATGTGGATATCCTAGGACCTGTAGAGCCAAGCTGTAGAGGTTACAAATACATTCTGTGTGCTGTTGATCAATGTACAAGGTGGTCCGAAGCGGTGCCATTGAAGAATTTGAATGCCAAAGCAACATGCGATGCATTGTTGCAAATCTTTTCACGCACAGGAATTCCTCAAATTGTTGCTTCAGATCAAGGTACTAATTTTACTGCTTCGTTGACCCAGATTTTTGAAAGGATCGGATCGTCCCCAAGGTTTCTCGACTCCTTATCATCCAAGTTCAAATGGCACTGGTAGAAAGATTTAATGCTGTTTTAAAGGGAATGATACATCATACCATTATGAGAACATTCGAAAAGATTGGGAGAAACATCTACCATACTTACTTTGGGCTTACCAAGAAGTTCCCTAATGCTACGACTGGGGTTTTAGTCCGTTTCCAAATGCTTTATGGAAGACGTCCTAATAGCCCGTTTATCTATTCTGAAGATCGTCATGGACTAATGAAACTCCTGTTCCTCATGGACAGTTAAGTTCAGTTTACCGATTATCTGAATGATTTGAAGACGAAATTGGAAAAAGCTGCTGAATACGCAGGACTTACAGATGTTACCGATTATCTGATGATTTGAAGACGAAATTAGAAAAAGCTGCTGAATACGCAGGACTTACAGATGGTTGGAAAGCAACAAGCTTATACATTCTACCATAACCAAAAGACCTCGTCATAAAGAATTCAAGGAAAGGTGACAGGGTTATAGTTTTAATCCCTGATAGCCAAAACAAAGTTTATGCCAGATGGACGGGACCTGCTACGATCATCAAAAAGCATACTGATTATAGTTACATAGTACAAATGCCTGACAATTCATCGAAGCACGTTCATGCAATGTCGGTGTGATATATGATACAGATATTGATTTCAGCGAAGTTGAAAACGTTCCAAGAATTGTTCCACGGAAAGCAAAAGAACACTATTCTAATGAGGAATGTGATTTTACACACCTTGAACCGCATAAGAAGAAAGAACTTATGGAAATTTTAAGAAGGCCATAAGAACCTAAGAACTGGTATTCCGAAAATCGCCAATGTGGGAGAACACAGCATCAGACTGAAACCTGGAAGTATGTCAAGAAAGCAGAAACCGTATCGAATACCTGAAGTTCTAAGAAATGAAGTTGATCGTCAAATAGATAAGCTTTTACAGCTAAAGCTAATCGTTGAATCAGAAAGTGAATATGTGCATCCAGTAATTTATGCGTTAACAAAATAAAACGGTAACATTATGTGTAGACAAAAAGACCATGCTGAGTTTATTGATGACGTGACTTAAAATGACATGATTATATTTCCCAGTGAGTGAAGCATGATTGATGTTATGAACTATGAACTATAAGACATTTTGACTGTTTAGTCTGATTTTTTTTTTTAGCTAAAATGCTAAATTTTTTTTTCTAACGTTAGTTAATGTGTTTAAAGATTTATCTAGGCTTTGCTAAAGTATTATGTTTAATGTTAATGATTGATTTGTATTGTCTCGTTTATATGATAACTGCTTATATGATTATGATTATGTGAAGGATTTAAGTTTGAAATGTTAATTAAATGTTACATTTTTTTTAAATGAATAGGATTACTGAATTTATGTTGAAGTAATTTTAATTTAAAATGGTAAGAATTGGTTAATTAAGTTCGAAAATTTCATGGATGTTATTTTATTTTGTTTCAAGAAATGGTTATATATGTGGATTTGACAGGTCATTGAAAGACGCAATCAAATCTTTTCGAGGGGAGGTGTCATGACGTGATGACCACGCATGCGCAGTTTAGCCAAACGGCCTGCAACGCCTCTCTCTCATGAGACTTACTAGAGAAGAGTAATTAGTAGGTAGTAGCGAAGTAACGAAGGAAACGTGTTGTATGTCAGTACGAAGTATTACTTGTGTGTTACTCGTTTGTACTTATTATTTTTATTTGTGTGTTAATAAAGTGTTGTGCCATTAAAATGGCTGTTTTATGCAACGCACACAATACGATACGTCTACGGTAGGAAGGAAATACATATCCAGAAGCTACACGCCCAAGAAAAAGTAGGATATGACAGAGTTGATAACTATCAACATGAAATTAGTGGTATCACGATCACACACAGACATTTACCTTGCATTTGAGCAGTTGTGGCAAGTAGGACAAATGAACAGATGCTATAATTGCACTAGTAAGGAATGTTCCTTAATGTTCTTTTTATAGGTAGAATAACTAACACCTGTTTAATTTTATCACAGTGTGTTTGTTGGCTGTGTTTTATGTAAGAATGAACAAAAAGTTTATGATAGTGCAGAAAAGATTTAAGGTAGAAGAACTAGTGTACAGTCAAAAGTCGTTAATCCGGACTCGTCGGGACTTCGGCGATTCCGGATTATCGATTTTTCCTGATTATAGATTATCAGTTTAAATCTGGTAAGATGGCATGCAGAAATTATAACATTAAAAATATGAAACCGTAATTTATGAAGTAAAGAACAATTATGATCTAAAGGGTATCAAAATTTACAAAAAAAGCTTAATATTTATTTGTTTACTTTATTAAACATTTCTTTCAATGTAAGTTGTTTAAGTTCCTTCGTTTTTTGTGATAATACTTTCTCTTTAATTCTATAAGCAGACATAATTTCTTGTTCAGTTACGAAGTTCCGCTGTTCAAGTCCTATAATTGCTGTGTCGAGAATGACTAATTTGTCAATTGAAATTTTTTCGTTTTCTATAAAACTCTGTGTCACTTTCTTCGCTATCGGAAGCAAATTATAATGACGAGGAATTTGATTTAAATCATATCAAAGACGGAGTACATCGAGATGAAATACTACATTTAGTAAGGAATTACAAGCCAAATAAAATAAAAACATCTGCTCTGAAGATAAGGATAGTGCTGACAGATCAACTTCCAGTTCATTGCGTGCCGAGACGTATCCCCCACACACACACAGAGCAGCGTGAAATTGATAAACAGATTTCGGAATGGTTAGATAAACAAAGGATATGCCTTATCCATTTTTTGCAGCAATTCCACTTTTTGTTTAATGGACTTTGAAACATACTTTCGCTTTGTAGATCCTTTACATATTGATAAATATATATCAGAAATTCTATTTGACATAATCGAAAGTTCAAGCGTACTTTTATAAAATTACTCTAACAGTCTGCAAAAAATAATAAGCCGGATCCAATTCGAAGATTAAGGCAATCTGCAACATTAACTGAATTAGATAATTTTAGCTTAGCTTATACCATCCGTTATACATTAAACGCGCATTCGTAAACGTATTTTGCACATGCGCACACGCATATTCGCAGCCGTAAAGGTCTTACACGCATGCGTCAGCGTTCGCAGAAAGTTTGTAGCTTTGAGTTCCGGATTATAGCTCATTCCGGATTATGGGTGTCCTAATTAACGACTTTTGACTGTAATAAAAAAAAACCTGACCTTGGTCGGACATCACTATTGTGTGTAAAAAATTATACCTGAAGGCTGATGACATAATTTCTGTTATACAATAAATAACTGGCTGTACAGTTAGAGAGTAGCTATGATTTTGTGTATATGAAGGGCTTTTGATCTGCATGACATTAATGTAGAACTGTCTTCAAAAACAGAGGTAAAATTTTTAGAAAGGAGTAAAAAGATAGTTTTGAACTCTGCAGGGAAACAATGTAGAAAAATAGTAAGTTGTTCAAATTACTGTAAATAGAGATTTTATATGAAATTTATCTTTGCTTTTTGATTCACCATTTTATACATGCATGTAAAGTATGGCAATAGAATGTGGCTGTATGACATTAATATACACTCGCCTCCAGAATTATCTTTACGTGCATAAAATCATGGATTTCTTAGAAACGGTTAACTACTATTACTACAGTTATTTTATTAATTTGTGTGGAATAATACATAATACATAAATACAGATAGAAAACTTAAAGTCAACAACATATGACATAAAACTGTAGCATGAAAGAATAAGAATGGTAATAGGGTGTTACAGGTAAATAAATTCATTTAAAAGAAAAAGAAAAGGGGGTAGCTTAGGGAAAAATTTTAGCTACAGAATGTCATTTCTGTGACTTGTATTCACATAGAAGAAAAAAGGAAGGAAATACTCTGTATATATTCCTTGGGGTGCTGTTCAAAATTGGGGATAGAAGTTGGACACAAGTAACCCTTTATTTTTATCTTAAATATTCCAATGTAATTATAAACTTTATGAAAGATAGTAAAATGAATTCATTTCATCTAGATGGAAACGTAGTGGATCACAAAATATTGACAGAATTGATGGAGATTTCAAGAGAGGGGGAGTAAGAGCAACTGCTGGGCCTCGACTAGGATGGTCTAGAGATCTGCCAAATGATCCAGAGTATGGTGTATTTTTAAAATTTTTGTATTTTTTCTTTAATAGTCCATGAGTTTGACTGTATTGAAATAGATTTCCTGAATATTAGTAATTTTCTTTTTGTATTTTTTTTTCTTGATTTGGTTTTGTTTGCTGTTAAATAGATTTCCATGTACATAAATTTCTCTACTCCATCTGAATTAAAGTCTTGCCAGTTAACATCAGTGGCCATAAATGAGATAGGGTTTGTTCTTCTGCATTTGAATTCTTGCTTAATAGTGTGCTTCAACCAATTGTAAAGGATTGAAACAAAATTTTTAGCATGCCAGTGATGAAAGAGAATTCTTATTTTCAAACTGCTGATTCCTTTTACACCAAATTGTTTTGTATAGTGCGCTAAAATGTTTAGACATTCGGGTTAGCTTTTAACTGTAGAGAAATAGTTGTAAGAAGGTTTTAATTTTGATAGGTTGAGTTTTATTGTCATTTAATATTTGATATTTAATAAGTTAAATGCTAGGGAAAAGACAATCTGAACGTAGTCTTAACTTATTTAACTCTCTGAGTTCAAATGAACATACAGGATGCGGCAAGGAAACTACTTTATTTTAGAAATGAATAACAGAAATAGTATGAGCGATATCAGTTGAATTTTTTCCCAAGTTATAGAGAGATACTTAAAGTTTTTTTTTTATTGCGATTAAAAAATAATATCATTAAAGTGGCCTCCGTTCTTGTCCATGCGTCGAGGTTTGATGTTTCTTTCCACTTTTACCAGCATATCAACGGGTATGTTTTTGATAGCATTTTGAATATTGTTCTTCAGTTGAGCCAGAATCTTTGGACGTTAGAGATTTCAGATAGCCCTACAAAACGAAACCACACGTGGCTAAATCAGGCAAGCCCACTGGCCACTAACGATTGCCCCGTAAGGAGGTAATAGTCCAGGGAAATGTTCTCTAAAAAACCATGGTCCAATGATGCCTATTGTGGACAATGCACACCAAACAGTCACACCCTCTGTATGGAGGGACTGCTCGTGAACTCAGGGATTCGTGCCACTCCATTATCGCATGTTCTGCTTAATGCATGCTGCAACTGGAAAGATGAAAATGAGCCTCATCACTAAAGAACACAAGGACATCATGAAGCATATTGTCAAGAACAGCTTCGCATCCTTTTTTTCGAGAAAGAAATTTGCACGTATTAAGTTTTTGCACCACTGCCATTTATATGGATGAAAATGCAGTACAGTCAAAAGTCGTTAACCTGGACTCGTCGGGACTTCGGCGATTCCGGATTATCAATTTTTCCAGATTATAGATCATCAGTTTAAATTTCATAAGATGACATGCAGAAATTCTAAAATTAAAATATGAAACCATAATTTATGAAATAAAGAACATTATGATCTAAGGGTATCAAATTTACAAAAAAAGCTTAATATTTATTTGTTTACTTTTTAAACATTTCTTTCAATGTAAGTTGTTTAAGTTGCTTCGTTTATGTGATACTTTCTCTTAATTCTATAAACAGACATAATTTCTTGTTCGTTACGAAATTCCGCTGTTCAAGTCCCGTTGCTGTGCGAGAATACCGCTAACTTGTCAATCGAAATTTTTGTTTTCACTAACCTCTCTATCACCTTCTTCATGTCTTTACCCTTTTTTGCAGCAATTCCACTTTTTGTTTGATGGACAGAAATACTTCGTTTTGTAGATCCTTTGGGAGCTCTCCAGATTGGAAATTCTATTTGACAAATCGAAGTTAAAGTTTACTTTATAAATTGCTCTTACAATCTGCAAAAAATAATAAGACGGATCCAATTCGAAGATTAATTAACAATGCAATCATCAACATTAACTGAAATAGATAATTTTAGCTTTTACCGTTCATTATACATAAAACGTGCACGCGAAAACGTATTCTGCGCTTGTGCGGACGCATATGCGCAGTCGTAAAGGTCTTACGTGCACGAGTAAATGTCTATGTGCATGTGTCAACGCGCCGCATGTGCAGAAAGTTTTTAGCTTTGAGGTCCGGATTAAAGATCATTCCGGACTAGGGGTGTCCAAATTAACGACTTTTGACTGTACATTGAAAAGTATAATCCACGGTGAATGCGCGCCGCTCTTGTCACTGCTGATCGGTAATAAACCTATATAGAATAAAAACGTTTCTAGCGATCCCCTTTTTATCATATAGGAGGTCGGGGCTGTCCCCTTATAGTAATAATAAGACATAAATGTTAGATAACCGCTCTTTTCATTGAGCTCCACCCTACCCTTCTTGGAATAAATGTTCTTGGAATAAATAGATGTGACGTTTTAAACTAGGAAGTTCCCGCCGCACCCTGTACAACACGATATTCACACCATTAGAATTTTAAATTGTAAATGATAAAAAATTATTTTAATTCATATCTCCTCTGTCAGATATTGGTTATTATAATCAGAGGTGTAAAGAAATCTGAAATTGCTCTTGTCCACTGCATATCGGTACTAAACCTATAATGACATAAAACGTTTTCTAGCGGTCCCCTTTTATTATCATATAGAGGAGGGGGTCCCCTTATAGTAATAATAATGACATAAAATGTTAGATACCGCTCTTTCATTGAGCTCCCCCTACCTTCTTGGAATAAATGTTCTTGGAATAATAGATGGTGCCGTTTTAAACTAGGATTTCCCTGCCGCACCCTGTACAAACACGATATTCACACCATTCAGAATTTTAAATTGTAAATGATTAAAAAATATTTTAATTCATATCTCCTCTGTCAAGATATTGGTTATTATAATCAGAGGTGTAAAAGGAATTCTGAAATTGCTCTTGTCCACTGCATGATCGGTACTAAACCTATATATGACATAAAACGTTTTCTAGCGAGTCCCCTTTTATTATCATATAGGAGGATCGGGGCTGTCCCCTTATAGTAATAATAATGACATAAAATGTTAGATACCGCTCTTTTCATTGAGCTCCACCCTACCCTTCTTGGAATAAATGTTCTTGGAATAAATAGATGGTGCACGTTTTAAACTAGGAAGTTTCCCTGCCGCACCCTGTACAAACACGATATTCACACCATTCAGAATTTTAAAATTGTAAATGATTAAAAAAATTATTTTAATTCATATCTCCTCTGTCAAGATATTGGTTATTATAATCAGAGGTGTAAAAGGAATTCTGAAATTGCTCTTGTCCACTGCATGATCGGTACTAAACCTATATATGACATAAAACGTTTTCTAGCGAGTCCCCTTTTATTATCATATAGGAGGATCGGGGCTGTCCCCTTATAGTAATAATAATGACATAAAATGTTAGATACCGCTCTTTTCATTGAGCTCCACCCTACCCTTCTTGGAAAATAGATGGTGCACGTTTTAAATAAAGTTTCCCGCCGCACCCTGTACAAACACGATATTCACACCATTCAGAATTTTAAAATTGTAAATGATTAAAAAAATTATTTTAATTCATATCTCCTCTGTCAAGATATTGGTTATTATAATCAGAGGTGTAAAAGAAATTCTGAAATTGAAAACTTTTTTTGAGAAAAGTTCTATGTAAGGATTTCAAAAAACTGTGTTACTTCTATATTTTGAATGTTTAGGTAGGTGAAGAAAACAGATGCACTTTCTGAACATTATTAGAGGAAATACTGTATGTCAGAATTTAAATTTTTGTGAAGAATTTTAAATGTAAAATATTCATTTGAATGGCAATTTTGTCTGAGATTTAGTGATGTCAGAATTTAAATTTTTGTGAAGAATTTTAAATGTAAAATATTCATTTCAATGGCAATTTTGTCTGAGATTTAGTGATTGTGGCAAAGTAAGTTTTCTTAAATTTGCTTCCTAAAAACTAAACTCCTTTATAAGAGATTTCACATATAGTGGTTAATGTCAACAGAAAAGTATGATATTATGTAAATATTCATAGACATACATACTCGAACTTCAGAAACTTTCTGTTCAGAAATTAAACTCCTTCATAAGAGGTTTTACATGCAGTAACTAATTTCAATAGACATTTAGTTATTGTGTAAATCATAAATATTTACAAATATGCTTACTGAAAACAGTGTTGCCATGCTACCTGGAAAATTCCAGGAATTCGAAAATTGACCAAAAGAGTTCAGGGAAAAGTCAGGGAATTTAAATATTTTAGTCAAAATGTGGCAAAATCAGGGAATTTCATATGGCTGTTCCTCTCCAAAAAGTGAGTTTTGCACCGACGTTGGAAGAGCTCACTTTCTTGGCAAATTATGTATCGCGTGAGCATCATTTAGCCAGCTGGCATAGAGCCAATTTTCGCAGCTCCAATCAGATTGTCCTGAGAGAAAGGCAAAGCAAGTTTCCAGCAACTTTTGGTTTCCAGTAACTTCGAGTATCGAGAGACTCCCATGCGCATATGCAGTGCATGTTGAACTAAGGAAAATACGTATTGTATAAAATAAAATCAGTTTAATCCTGGTATAGAGTACCATGGAGGTTAGAATAGCCTCCATGTACCGTATACACAGGATTTGTAGATATGATGGGGAGCAGTAAATGGGTCATTTTGGTGTTAGTGACAATTTTCAAAATCGTGCCAAGGCCGTAGCATATACTAGGATTTTACCGGAAAATCTTTTTAACCTCCCCTTTTTTTAGTAAATTCCTTATTTGTCATTTTGCAGTAAACTAAAAAACTAGTAATCAGTCACCTAGGCTAACTATTTAATGTAACTATATTCGCCAAAATATCATTGATTATTCAAATTCAATTTTTAAATAATTATGTTTATTTTAATGTTATTTATGTCATTTAACCCTCCTAGCGTTAAGGCCGGAAAATTCCGTACAGAAGGTTGCCTTCCACATTCATTATACTTGAAAATTTCTGCTAGCTTTTAATGTATCTGATTTCAGTTTGGGTGTATATTGGAACAAAAGGAATCAAGGTACAAAATGAGAGTCATTTTTTAATTAAAATCAAGAAAATATCACTTATTCATGACATTTTGAGGAACTTTG